TGGACCCGGCCCGCATCCACGAGCCAACCGTTGCCGTACCGTCGCACCTCACCGACATCCTGCTCAACCCAAACCTGCGCATGGACTACATTGCGCCCGTGCCCAAGATGGAGGAGTTTGTGCCTGGGATCAACAGGACGATGCGGCTGCTGCTGCAACACGCCGTGGGGCGACAGCTGCCCTCGCGTGTGCAGCACGCGGCGTTTGTCACGGCCCTGTCCCACGTCACGCCGTCCCTCCCGCTCATGGTCACGTTCACGATTGGCGAGAGCGACCACCACCGCCACCAGCAGCAGCAGCAACAGCAGCAGCAGCAACACCACCAGAGCGCATCCCGGCTCTCACGTGCGCTGAGCAGACACGGCGACGAAGAGGAAGCGGATGCCGTGTCCACACACACCAGGTTAGTATGATATGGCAAACGGGCGTGGGGGTGGGGTGCATCTGACTGTTTACTTGTGCATTGTCACGTCTGTTGGGTGGTAACTGAGCTCAAACGCATATGCAAGGTGAAGGCTTCTTCGAACAAAACAAACCACACAAAACACGCTCACACACTCACAACCACATACACAACCACACACACACAACCACACACACACACTCACAACCACATACACATACACAACCACACTCACACACACACACTCACAACCACATACACATACACATACACACACACGCACATACACATACGCATACACATACACATACACATACACATACACATACACACATTCAGGCTGTCTGCTGCGCTACGCGTGGACAGCGAGCCCACCGAGCTGTACCGCATGAGCGGCGTGTTGGACCCAAATGCCCTGCTGCCACTCGGCGCAAAGGAGGGCGGGAAGCAGCTGGGCACGGCGCAGATTGGGGGCGGTGCCGGGGGACCCATCCAGGTGCAGGAGTACGACCTGGACACATCGTCCGGCGGGGAGTCGTCATCGGAGGAGGAGAGCGGCGCCGACCAGGCCGTGTTTGTCGACATGTCCGAGATTTAGGGCACACATGGGGAGGTGGTTGGTGGGTTGGTTGGTGGTGTTTGGGGAGGAGTGACAGAGCAGAGGATAAGGAGAGAATGAGAAGAAGAAGAAGTGGAAGGATGTGGGTGAGTACACAAGCACATATCTTCATTCACACATGCCTCCATACACACAAAATGGTTGCTTCCCCCCCCCCGCGTGTGATTGTGTGTTGTGACGTCTAACAGGCCATGCATGCATTGTTGTCATGTTGCTTTTGGTGTTGTTGTTGTGAATCGAGCCATTTAGTAAACAGCACACGCATTACGTCAACACCATGCACAGCATTTAACGAGCACTGCACCGCACTTGGAGGGCAGTCATGCTCATGCTGTGCTTGCAGGCACGTCCTGCTGGTCTTGTGCTCCTTGCTCCGAAGCCGCTGGGGCATGCGCTTGCTGTTGTGCTTGTTGACTGCTGTTACCTGCATGCGCCCAACAAGCAGCAACAACAGCACGTTGAGTGGGAACATGGAACCATTCAAACAGGCAGTCACAGAGAAACAGAGATGGACAAAGATGGTGAGACAGAGAGAAATACACACACACATACACAGAGAGAGAGGGGAGACAAAGATGGTGAGACAGAGAGAAAGACACACACACACACACACACATACATACACAAAGAGAGGGGGCCTTCACATAAGCACATAGGCGCACACAGAGCCTTCGCATGAGCACATTGGCGCACCGATGTACCTCGCTTTGCAATTTGGATGGCGTCGACAACCTTCCGCATGTCGTTCTCCAGCGTTGCTGCCCAATTCTCCACATCTCCAATCTCCTGTGTGTGCATGTGCGTTTGGGTGTGAGATGAAACACCCATGCATGCATACATCTGGTGCAGCTTTACCAGGCACGTGCACACACACACACACACACCAACCTTGAGGGCCTGGTTGAACTTCTTCACAGAAGTGGCCCACTTTGCCGCCGTGCGTTTCTGTTTGGCTAAGAGATAGGAACCACGCCACGACAAGCAAGCAAGCAACGTGGGGGAGGCGCCAATGCGATGAACAGCCAGGAATCAGCTCGGCCCACAAACACGCAAGGGCGACGATTGCCAAACTCACCCAGGGCTGCTTGCATGGCTTGGATCTCCTTGTCAATGTGCTGCTGATTCGCAAACACCTGCGATACCCTGAAAGAGGGTGGAATTTGATTCAACATGATGAATGAGCACGACAACCACAAGGCGAGGGCGCAACGCTTCCAAGAACTCAATCACGCGGGCAGACACAGGCAGACACGGGCAGACAGAGAGAGACAGAGAGAGACAGAGAGACAAACAGACACAGACAGAAAAAAACGAACAAATGTCAACAAGCAAATTATACACAGACGCACAGGCACACAGACACACAGGCACACAGGCACACAGACACACAGACGCACAGGCACACAGACACACAGGCACACAGGCACACAGACACACAGACAGACAAACGAACACGCAAGTGTGCGTGCACCACCACCTCATTGTACTCACTCTGTATTCAGGTCTGCAACGACCGCGGCGGCGAGCTCCTGCAGGTGCTGTGAAGCACTTGCCTTGGCCTCGGCTGTGACACCGACAACCAAACACACAAACAAACAAACAACCAAAACACAACCAAACACAACCAAACGGGGCAAAGGTGATGAACTGATTTGTGAGACAAAATTGGTCAAAGCCAGAAACACACACACACACACACACACACACACACACACAC